CAAAATCAAAATGAATTCAAACTCAATTTGTTAGCTAGAGCTGAAGTTGAAGGATATGGGAGCTTATAACTGATGTTGGGTTTAAAAAATGAAAAAACCAAACCTCTTACAACTTAATATATGCTACAACTGATTTGGAGCCACTCATACAGTTGTCCTAGTATTCTTGATACATCAAACCAGGGAGGAAAAAGAGCCTCTTCTTTATAAGTAACATTGTAAGTTAACTCTTCAAAAAAAGCCTTTTCCTTCCCCAAGTTTGATGATACATTATATATGATATATATGAATTTGGGAAGAGGAAAAAGAGTCACTAAGAAAGCAACTCTTTGACCTTCCCTAATAAAAAGCAGGAAAGAGAAACAGTTTTTGAAAAATGAAGGAAAGACTCTTTTTTGAAAGAAAGAAACATTGGTGTTTACCATATTTGTTGGTGGAAAGTTCAAAAAGCTTGCATCAATGACTTGTACCTAAATGCATCATAATTAGTAATTAAGAGATTTTCAGCTCTTATGCTTCAAAAACCAGTACTCTATGCTTGTTGTGTTGTAATTAAGAGTTTGATGTAAATGAATATTAAGGTAGTATATGTATGTATATATATATACACACACACATACATATATGAAGAGGTGGACGTTCAGGGGAAATTTAAAAAGAAATTAAAAACTGAAAAACATTTTGATAGTTATTCATCTACACGGTATGTGTATGTACATAAAAGTAATTGAAATTGTTTCTTGATTTTTAGGCACATATGAATGTTATGCATATATGCATATCGTATAAATTGTTTACAAATTACTTATATGCACATGTGCATACCGTCCATATAGACGGTCAACCACTCGAGTACTCCTCAGTTTACATTTTTTCATTGTTTTTCCTTGAACCTTACCCTATATAATATATATATATATATATATACACACTAAAAGTTTACTTGTGCAATGCTGCGAGATGATCTCGATTTTAATGTTTCGTTTAATTATTTGTCTCTTTCAATATTATAATATAGTTTTATGTGGCTTTAAAAAATATCCATGACGTTTTATTTATTTTAAAAATATAAATTTGAAATATATCAAATTAACTTTTTGATTTTCTTTCTGTAATTTCATTAATTTAATTTAGGCTTAATAACGAAATAATTTAATTTTTTGTTTAATAATATGATTTTTTATAAAGATAATAATTAAGTATTATGTTATAACTCAATTAATATCCTAATTATATTTTAGATTTTTTATATTTAAAATGAGATGTTTATCTTGTATTTAATTATATTTATTTGTAGTTAGTTACACGAATTTAAACATGAAACTTTAATAAGTTGTACTTACGCATAATTACTTGTAATATTGAATTTTAACTAATTTATATAAATAAACAATATTTTATATATAAAATAGTTTTTAAATTTTTTGATTACATATATATATATATATATATCTTTTGACCCACCTTTTCCTCGTTGTCTCCTCCAAATGAAAATTTTATCATATTTAATAATAAAGTTTACACATGTATAGGAAGAAGACAGTGATAACGCATTGAGTGTATCACAATATATGAACCCTCGATTCCATATGCTTTAATCACGTGGATGCTCATCATATTGAGAATTTTATCTTAAAGTCGTTAAATAGATCCATCAAAAATCTACTAAGATTCATTAAAGTCTAATAAATCTATTAAAATTTACTAAAATTCATTAAAGATCAAATAGTAAAGCCTAATAATACCCATTAAAGCTTAATTGAACTGAATAAAGCTCAATAATACTCGTTAAACCTCAATTGAACCAAATAAGGCCCAATACATTAATTAAAGCCCAATTGAACCAAATAAGGCCAATAATACACATTAATGCTGAATTGAATCGAATAAAACCCAATAGCTCCATTAAAACCTATTTGAATCGAATAAAGTCTACTAAGATCAATTAAATTTCATCAAGATCCATTAAAATCCAATAATACTTGTAAAAGTCCACTAAAATATACTCCTTGTAAAAAAAATTTAGATAAATTCCTACAGATTTCCGACGAAACATAACTTTTTATTTGAAAAAATAAGATTCCGTCGAAAATCCATCGATAGTGTTTAAGAAAAAAAATTTTAATTTTTTTCCATACAAAAAAATTTATTTAAAATAAAATAAAGAAAGGAGTTTAAAATTTCCGACATAATATAATTCTTATTTAAAAAAATTAAATTCCGTGGGTAGTTTTAAACTTCTTTCTTTATTTTGTTCCAAATATATCTTTTCGATCAAATAAAAATAAAGAAAACTTTTAAGAAAGGAGTTTAAAATTTCCGACAGAATATAATTCTTATTTAAAAAAATTAAATTCCGTCGGTAATTTTAAATTTCTTTCTTTATTTTCTTTCAAATATATCTTTTCGATGAAAAAAAATAAAGAAAACTTTCTCCTTAAACATTTTCTACGGATTTCCGATGAATTTTAAAATATTTTAAATAAAAACATAAAAAATTAAAATCCGTTTTATTTTCTTTAAAAGTATATTTTTGGAAGAAAAAATAAAAAAAATATTTTTTTAAATAAATTCTGACGGATATCCGATGAATTATAATTTTTTTATTAAATACTTCTGACGGATTTTCGACGAATTTTAATTTTTTTAAATAAAAAACATAAAAAATTACAATCCATCGGAACTGTTTAAGAAAAATACTTTTGTTATCTTTTAATCATAGCTTCTAATAAAAGAATAAGATTAAAAAAGAGATTCAAAAAATTTTCGACAGATTTTAATTAAATATAAAAATTAATTAAAATCCGTTGAAAATTTGTCGGAAATTGTAATTAATTAATACTAATTAATTTATTTAAAAAAATTAAACCAATTTTGTGACGAATTTCCGACTTTGATCAGAGGTTGACTCGATCATTAGAAGAAGAATTAGACCCTGTTCTCACGGTTTTGGCTGCTCCCATTTCGCTCGGGGGTTCGAATCCCTCCTCGCCCACAACMGGTCCAAAAGGGAAGGGCCTTTCTCTTTGGGGGTAGGAAAATCAGGAGAAGGAGCCCTCGACCCGCAACAGATAGAGGAGGATTTATTCAATCACATAGTTGGATTTGTGATGGTATTAAATAAGTCACAAATCCGTCGGGAAAGTTATAAAAATGAAAAAAAATTCAATGACGGATTTGTGGTGGAAGTCGACAAAAGTTGGCTTTTCTTGACTATTTTGGGATCCATCGTAAATCATCTATCGGAAATCCGTCACTGATTTTTCTGACGGAATTGCCGCCAGAAAAATCTGTTGGTGATACCATTTTTTGTAGTAGTCGACTCTAGTCCCACTTGATCAAACGACTAAATTGACGTTAATCAAATTTAACTTATAGGTTTCAAATCCACTTGTTGCGTTTATAAATTGATGGCTGAAATTATAGAGTGAGTTTCTTTAAAGGATACATACATTAATTCTTCAAGAAACTTAATTGAATAAAAAGCTTACACACGTGAGTGAAATAAAGGTAGTATTTATTGTAATAGCATCATATATATATACAAAGACATGCAAATGCTTTCTAGCTTGGTGTTGGTCAAACATTAAAACAAAGTGGAGTTTAAAGAAAAGGGGAAAGCAAAAGACACATTATTATATGAAAAGGCATGACAAATTTGCAGCTAATTATGGCAATGTAACCCCAACCATTAAAGGGCAGGAAGGAAGGAATGTCTTTAAAGTCGGATTGGAATAAAGAAAAAGGAGAAGCAGGGCAACTTTTGAATTCTTATATTTGGTAGTTTATTTTTAAATGAATACAAAAACTCGGATTATAGGCTATAACTTATCTTTTAAAAAATAACTTATCTGTATTAGCTGAAATTGTTAGTCAATCATAAAGGCTACTGCATGCAATGAATGTGTTCCCAAGCCTTCTATCCGAATAAAAAGCTTGGAAAATTGCAAAAAGATGCATGACAGTGGGTAAATAAAATGTTTGAGTTTATTGTTTTATTGATAAATTAGTTTTTTAAGGTCAAGCTTTATTAAAGACACTGGAAAACATAATACAAAGCAACCAACAACAAAAAGTTTCATCATCAATGAGATCCATAAACAATCAAACCCAACACCACTGCACAGAGAAAATTAATTAATGAAAAACAGAATGGAAGGAAAGACTCAAACACCCACCACATAAACACATGGAAACTAAAAACCCACAAGGAAGTACGACAAGACACCTTCAATTGAACTACAAGGAGAAACAAACAAGACCGAGCATGAAAGCAGACAAAAAAACTAGCATTCGAACGATACAAACCATTCCAACCACATATTAAACGCAATCCAACCATGAGACATTAAAACCTTTGGCACGATTAGCTAGCTAACTATTGGGGCAAAAGGAGTTGGATCTTATCGGAATGTAGACATAACCTATCTTCAAAGACCACTTCATTCGAAAGCACCAAATGATGTATCATGTATTTTAGTGGTATTATTCTATTTTAAATGGCTAATTTTCTTATTAAATTAACTTTTTTTACTGTAATTGTTTGTTAGTGTAATTTTGGGTTTAAATTTCATGATAGTTAGTATTTCTATTGTTTTAAACGAAGATAACTAATGGTATAAATATTTTTAATAATAGTAATATAAAGAAACATGTACTCGATCACAACATGTCATACACGTCGAAGTAAAAGATTAAAATCTTATGCAAGCATGCATATATTTGAAAAATAAACATTTATTATGATATTTATTTTAAAACAATAAACTCTATATTTCAGGACTAATTAACAACTTCAGAAGATAAAAAGGTGGGTGCGGTTAAATCGTTTGAATTAATTTGTTGTGACGATTGATCTCGATCACAACTATTTGTGGCACAATCATTCATCAACAATCTAATCATTATCACAAACTTAAATTTAGGCAAAAAGTTCACACAGCAGTTGGAGTTTTAGAGAAAAAAAAAAAGTAGTCTTTTTGTCTTCCATTACCACCTTAATTAACTTGATTAATTAATCACCAAAAAAGTAATTAAAAGACTTAATTAATTAACCTAACTACTACAAGTTCTTGATCCTTTCTAGTCCATGCGTGCCAACAAGAGTTTAGACAAATTAATTGATGTTTCTGATTCAAGCATCACTCCATGCAGCAAAGACTGGGAAGTGTCCTGAAGACACCCATGAATTTACATTTCCAGTAGCAGCCATGGAAGCACTTATTCCATCTGGGCTTTCTTCTCTGGAGCAGCTCAAGCTAGTTATCAATGAAGAAGGGTTCGAATACTGACCACCGATTTTCTCGCCGGATAATTCATTGCTAATCAGCTGCTGTTGATTGTTGGGATTCTTTAATTTTTCATTAAGTTCTTCCAAAGTTGTTCTTTGTTGATGATCAATGTTCTCTAGCTGAGCATAACCAGCCTCCATCAATGATGTGGTGGTGGTGGTGGTAACGACGGTGCTTTTGTTTCGCCTTGCTAGTTCTCCGGCAAGTAAAGTGGTGCTAGCAATGATTCTCTCAACATCATACCGAGAAACGTCAAAGTTTGTGACAGCATTCACACCCCGAAACTTGATCGCTGCAACATCATAAGCCTCAGCGGCCTCCTCCTGAGTGCCTGAATTTTTTTTAACTTGATTAGAACACAAGTTTAAAATCTCTTAACTATGTGGAAGCTCTAAATTTGGAGCACTTACTGAAGGTACCAAGATAAAGGTCCTTGTTTCCGGCTACACGGCCAATCCGGGCTTGCCATCTTCCATGTTGATGATGCCTGTTCGTTTCGTGGGTCACATTAATATATCAAATGTGCCAAGTTAAGAACAATATGATTTTGTGTCGTCGCTCTTGTATAAGTTCAAAATAAAGGGGAATCCACGAATAATAAACCTAAGATTATTGTTATATTTGACGATGTAAAATGATTTAAAACGATATTTAATAATTTACTCACTTCTAATGTATTAAGATGTATTATTAATTGGAATAGTGAAAAAAACCCTATTACGCTGAAATACATTTTTAGAAAGGTAGACTATAAGCTAGTTTATTGGTTAGCTAGGGATATGGGGTTTTTTCAATGAAATCTAAAAATAAGTTAGTTTATGGTAGCTAAACATAACCACAGTCACAAATTAATAAAAAAACGATAATGTCGAACCTTGTAACACCTCTATAAATCGAAGCACCTCGAGAAAATCCACTGCTCTTCCTGAAATATGGTCAACATTACAGAAGAACAAAAATCATCAAGAGAAAAAAAAATATTGTGATGATAAAAACAGGCATGGTCGTTCTCGATGATCAACAGCTTTCGTATTTATACCTTCGTAAGTGGGCTACAAATTCTTGGCGACTCATACTCTTCATCTCGTCAAGCTCCTGATGGTAGATCTCGAGCTACAAAAACAACCAAAAGTCACTTAAATCATGCAAGCGTATTTTTGAAGTGTTCAACTTTTCAAACTAGTTATTGATGCTAAACCAAAAGAAACAAGGATTTTAATGATGACTTTTATGTTTGCTAAAAGTCCATTTATCTTCACAAAGATTTATTGATACAAGGGTGGAGCCACCAGGACGTGCATGTTCTCCTCCTAGATTTTTTTTTTAATTTTAGTTTTTGATATAAAAAGAAAAGGTAATATTTGCATTTGTGTATAATCATCTCTTATAGTGTTAAAGTTGTTAATATTTTGTTTGAAATTCTATAAAATTGAAATTAAAAATTAAAAATTAAAAAGAGAAACCTTTAGGGCATTTTAGTAATTATTTTTTCTCATATAATACATGTTGGGACTACAATAGATGAAAAACATTTTCAGCTATAGACATTGTCAAGAATATATATTTTGCAATAGAATAGGAAATCAATGGTGAATGATTGTCGGAATGGGGCAAATAATTGATTAATGGCAACACAACCGGTCCGTATGAAATCTAATCTACCTCCAAGGACATTAATATGGGTGTCATATTTTTGGTTCACTCATTGGTTGAGCCTAATAGGATTCCATGATCGAACTTGGGACCTATCTTGTATTTGGACAACCGCGCTTTTATGAACCGAGTTAGACACTAAAAATAATTGAGTTATCGAAAATAATGTTTTTGTTTAGGTTGAGAGTAAAAAAGGTAAAATATACCAAAAATAAGCTTGCACGGGGTTCCACTATTCTAAAAATGAGTACTTATATATATATATTTGATCATTTTTATTTATTACGTCACTGTAGTTTGTGACGAAAGCGTTGCCAAAGATCAGTTTTCTTGTATAACTAGAGTTCTTACTGGGAAGTTGATATGAGTCGACGAACCCCAGTACTTAAGTGCAGCTAAGTCGTAAGCTCGAGCTGCCTTTTCTTCCATATCATAACCCCCTGAAATTAAGTCATGATTCTAAAATATAAACCCTAATGTAAATTCTTGAAGTTCACTTAATTTGCAAAAGTTTTAGAAAGAAAAACTTACCCAGATACACTGAGAAATGGAGCAAGATTCAAACATGAGAAAAAATAGTTGATTAGTAAGAATAAAAACATGTATTCTTCAAAATAAGATTAACAAAAAAGAATGAAGTAACCTTGTCTTCCTTTTCTGGTTTGGCCTTCTTTCTTGCAACTATTATCCCATAAATGTGCTTCATATCTTCCTGTCCACCTATGCCTAACCATAGCAAAATCAACAAGTTTTTCAGAGGTTACAAAAGAGCTAATAAACTAGCATATATATATATATATATATATATATATTTGAAAAGTTCCTTGTTGACTAATACCAAAAACCATTTAATGATAAAAGTAGATGATAAACGACAATACAATACAATGTAAAATAAACATGTTAAAGAAGAAGAGAAGGATATAATTGAAAAAGGAGTTAAAAAAAAAAAAAAAAAAAAAAAAAAAAAAAAAAACCTTACAACTTATTGAAACGTCCATGTCCATGTGAAATAGTTTTTTGTACAGACTAGAAACTAAGATTCTAGCATATGGTTGCCAAATATGGCCTAAAACCATTCATTCTCATTTACTTTATTGTTGTTTATTTTCTATATTATTGATAATCTCTTGGTAAGAAATATAAAAAATAAAATAAAAAGTGAACCAATTAACTGAATTAATTACCTCGTTACCCCTCTAAACTGCGAGGTTCTTTGACCAAACGTGTCTAGTGATTTTCTGTGCACCGGCTGCTTTTGAGTTACCCTACTAGAGTCTCTCTTCTTTGTTTCCACTGTTAAACACTGATCTGTTCTTCCAGTTACACAGCTTGACTGAGAACCAGGGCTCATGGACAAACTCAGGGATTGTACATCACCACCACCACCATTATTTATCATGTGGGTGGTTGTGGTGCTGCTGATTTGGTTGTGGTGGCTGCCAAGTGAAGTGTAAGGGCTTTGTGATGGGTACTGTGGTGGTGGAGAAACTACCCAGTTGTGTTTAGCAACAGTTGATTCTTCTTCATGGATTTGATAAATGTTAGAAGGTATTCCCTCAGGGTACAACCATCTGGATTCAGGGTACAAGCTGTCTAAGCTTAGAGCCATGGTTTCTCTCTCATGGCTTCCATAGTCATGAGAAACCCCTAGAAAGTCTTCCAGTTTAGGTGAAGAAGAATTTGGCATCACCCCTTAACATTTCAAGAAAAACAAAAACAAATAAATTTCAGTTTTTCTTTTCTTTTCAAAGGCCAAACTTTTTGCTAGAGATAATTACTTTACTAACCTTGTGGATGTGAAGAAGCAAGAGCTTCCAAGATGCAAAGAGAGCCATCAGATTTGAGGGGCATAACAGTCAGAGGAGAGAAAAAAGTAGTGCCGTTTTCAGCAACACCATAACAAGAGTAAGGAGAAAGATAGAAACTGCTAGTGTTTGGTGCCATTGTTGAAGAGGCAGAAGCCTCCATTTTCAATGGAGGTGACAGAGAAACACCCAGCCAGTTGCTTATACTTGCATTATCATCACTAGCACCATCAGTCATTGACTTCATCTTTTCTATCTCTCTCTCTCTCTCACTTCATTTTTCTCTCTCTCACTTCATTCTCTCCCTAGATTTGTTTGTGGATGCGTATGTCTGTGTGAATCTGAGTTAGAGTAAGGTGATAAAAGAAGTGGTCGCTTGGAACTAAACAAAGAGAATGATAAGCAGTAGGAGAGCAAGAAATGCTGGGTGGCACCCCTGCATCCCATGGGGATCTGTGAGCATAAATAAGAAAGACTAAAAACACACACACACATATACTGTGTGATGTAGAAAGACCAAAGTCTTTTCCTTTTCTCATTTCATTAAATATTTAGGGTTTTGTATCAATAAATAAGTATCTGGTCGTGCATTCCAAAACAAGCAAAACCTTTGCTAAAAATACTCACCATTTAAACTATACAAACCTAGTTCAAAAAATATACTCACCCGCTCTTGCTCCTTACTACAAATTGGTTATTAAAAATTAAAAATAAAATATTTAAGTTGGTTTTTTAGGTTGTTTTTTTCTTGAGCTTTTATGTGGATTAAGACGGTGTTTACTTGCGGCTTAATGAGCTTAATGGTTGATCGTTTATTCGCACAACTTTTTTAGGCTGTTTAATTGCGGCTAATTCACATACAAGTCGACTTAAACACACATATAGATATTTTGTATTGTCCCATTTAACCAAAAAGAAGACAACCTTACCCCTTCAAGACACGCCTCCTTCTGGATTATAAAAGTGTCTGCTTCATCTCCATCTCCAAATTTCATCTACATCATCATCATCTCCAAATTTCATCTACCATCATTTCGAACTTCAAAAACCCTTGCCAATTTCGACTTCCTTATACTCGAATTTCTTTCATGAACATTGATTTTGAAGCTTTCTTCGAAGAACATGCCTCCTTCCTTGATTTTGTTCAAAACCCTACACCATCATCTAGGTCGATTTCTTGCTCATCTTCTTTCAAATGACGATTTCTTAGATCGATTTCATTTCCTTGGATTTTCCTAGATTTTGTTCGATTTCATTTCCAGTGACGATTTCTTGCACCATCATCTAGATCGATTTCGTTTCATCGGTGATGATTTCTTGCTGATCTTCTGCATTGTTGACAATTTGTTTCTAGTGACGATTTATTGCTCATCTTCTGCACCGCTAGACGATTTCGGTGGATTTTTGTCGTCTTCTCCGATTTTAGGGTAGAACATCCAGATTATTATGTTTTAGTTTTAGGGTACAGCCTCTTGATTTCGTCGTTCTTATTCGATTTTCATGGATTTTCATTGTCTTGTTCGAACTTTTTCTCACCCTCCAGATAATTATGTTTTGATGTTGAAATAGTTTAATGAATAATAGCTTTTGGTTTGATGAATAATAGTTTTTTGGTTTGATTAACAATACGGGTAGATCGGTTATTTATGTTGTTCAGACTGTTGATTTAGGTAAAAAGGTAAACAACAACACTTTTTTCTATTTATCAAAACAGACAAATTTATCCGAAAAGACAAATTTATCCATACACGACTTAAATTTGGTAAATGCCCCTAAGTTGACAGTATTATTTAAGATAACATCTTGTTGAATTGTTCTATTGAATATACGCTACACCCAATGTTTTCTTAGAGAACAAATGTTAATTGCCTATGTTGCTTAAAATAAGCTTGGGCAACAAAGGCTATTATATGTTGCCTAAGTTTCCTCTTAGGTAGTGTCGTTTACGCAACAAAGGCTATTATACGTCTAAGGGGCTGTATACCTAAATGTTTACCCGGTAAACGCTTACTATTATAAGTCAACACTATAATTTATTTTACCGGGTAAGATTGTAGTACATCAAAATGATATTGTATGCAACAATTTACCCAATAAGCGTTTACCCAGGTAAGAGTCGTCACCTTCACTTACCAAGTAAGACTCTTCATCCTCATCATTGCTCTTACCGGGTAATATTTTTGACCCTTGTCATGTTAATTCGGTAAAGAAAATTACTCAATAAGCGCTTACCGAGTAAGCATTTAGTAAACGACCCTAAATGATTTATGTTGCTTCAAACTATCTTAAGCAATATCTTACCCTACGTTGCCGTAGTTGAATGTGGAAGACCATACTTTTTTTTAAAATCAGCCAAAGTTAACGTATGCAACATATAATCCTCTTCCTTGGTTGCATAAGAGTATGTTCCAAATATTAGTCAAAGTCAACTTAAGTGTGTGTGTCAACATTTGCGAATAAAATATGTTGTCTAATCTGATAACTTAGACAATATGTACATAAATCGAATGTTGTCTTAGACTTTGTTTGATGCAACAAATGTTTTTTTCCGTAGGCAATGTAACCTATTATGACGTTGACTAAGGGGTCAACTTAGGCAGCATATGATTTTGGTCTATATTGCCTAGGTTTTAATGCAACACTGAGAAGGAAACACCGCTTAGGCAACACGGATTTGTTGCCTTAGCTTTAGGCAACACATAAACCCCTTTTACGCAACTTCTTCCGTTTGTTGCCTAAGTGACATTTTGAGGTAGTGATATAGTCTAAATGTAAAAAATGACTGGTTTTAATGCAACATTGAGAAGGCAACATCGCTTAGGCAACACAGGCTTGTTGCCTTAGCCTTAGGCAACACATAAACCCCTCTTAGGCAGCTTCTTCTTTTTGTTGCCTAAATGATATTTTGAGGTAATGATATAGTCTAAATGTCAAAAATGACTAGTTTATTGGATATATATATATATATATATATGTTAGACCCCATAATCTATAAAGTATAAAAGTAATGAAAAACAATAAGTGATGAAGAACCAGAAGACCGATGAAGACATCAAGGCAGAATTGACTAAATCTGGAGAACAACCAGAGGGTCGATGAACAACCAAGGATGCGATGGAAAGAGCATCTTCATCACCTCTGGTCAACAACACTTAGAGAATTCTTCAGCAATTCAACCAGAGGCATACTATGAAGATTTAAAGATAATGTTGATTCATACCATGAAAGACATCTGGAGATGACAAGTCGACAGCTACACTTCAAGTTTATCTTAATATTAAAGCTTATCCATAGTTTAGATAAACATTATCTGTTAATAGAAGATTAGCTAAAAAGTCTCAATAGATAGTTATATTCTAATTAGTTTACTAGTATAAATAGGTGATTAGGTCTATTGTACTAAATGTCTCTTTTACGTTTTTCTTATTAATAAAGTGAAACCTTTGACCCTCAAGATTGTTCTTTAATGTTCATAATTTATTCTTGAGTGTTCATCACTTTGTTCATTAAAACACTATAATTTGGTTATTCTTAACTTGATTATTAGTGTTATTGAGAGATCTGAGATCAACAATTGGTATCAGAGCCAATTAATTGTTCTTCAATCAAAACGATCATCTAAAATCTCTCAATTTTTTTTTCTCTTCAAACGTAAAATCTTTCTCTTAAAAAATTCTCAATGGCCAACTGGAATTCTGCATATAGTGTTGGCTCCCTCACCAAGCCTCCAACTCTTCAACGAGAATAATACCCACAATGGAAGATAAGAATGGTGAATTTCTTGGAAGGAATGGACAGGAACCTCCTGCGATCTGTAATGGAGGGTCCTTACATTCCACAAACTCTTGTCCCAAGAGTTCCAGGAACAAACACCACAGCTGAAATTCTTGCCTACTATTTGCCGAAGGATGAGAAGAATTGGGATGAAGACGACATAGAAAGGGTAGAGACAGACAAGATGGCCAAACGATTGATAATCATGGCCATACCCAATGAAATCTTCCAATCCCTCGATGCATGTTCCACAGCCAAAGAACTATGGGATGAACTAGCAAGCCAACTGGAAGGAGGAGCAAAAATGAAGAAAAATCGTAGAGCACAATGTCTCAACAAATACACAAATTTCAAGGCCCTTCCTGATGAACCGATACAGAAGACATATGATCGTTTCAACACATTGATCAATCAATGTCGTCGAAACGATATCTCCAGAACTAAGGAAGAAAACAATGTTTTATTCCTAAAAAGTCTTGGTGATGAATGGACTCAGCTGTCTATGTCCATTCAAGCAAACCAGGACCTAGACAGGTGATCACTTCACAATCTGTATGGAACGCTTGCAGCACAAGAGAACGACATTATGAAGAAGAAAGTATCCATCGGTGGACCTCTCGCTCTTGCTGCCGATGAAAAGGAAATGTCAAGGACCCCTACCAGAGAACTTAAGAAGAAAGGAAAGAAAGCACTGGTGGTAGAATCAAAATCTGAAGACGAAACTTCTGAATCAGATGATGAAATTAAAGCCTTTGCCAAATCTCTGGCCTTGATTTCAAAGCAGTTACAAAAAAAGTTCATCAAGAAACCCTATGAACGAAAAGAATTCAAGAGGGAAAGGTACCAGTCATCCTAGGAAAGGAAGCCATCGAAATTTCATCAGAGGGAAAATGGAAGAGATGGAAGAGAAGAAAGAGAAGAAAGAAGAGAGGACATAAGAGACGAGAGGAAGGAGGACAAGGATGGAAGGAAAAATGACCTCCGCTGCTTCAGGTGCGGAAAACTTGGTCATTTTTCCAAAGAATGCAGAGGACGATTGGTAAAGGATGYYRACTATTACAAGAACAAATACAAGTATAATCCTAGAGAGTGTAGCCTGATGGCCGAAAAAGAAAATTGGGTGTCTGATTCTTCATCAGATGATAAAGACAAAGCACTCATCTGTCTGATGGCCACGTTTAATGCAGAATCTGCCTCCAACTCTGATGATCAGGTATGTGAGTCTACTTCAAATGAAACCAACTCTGCTCCATCTGAGCTAGAGTTAAGGGTTATAAAACTTTCAGAAGATTTCTTTAAATTAAAAGAGAAATTAAATTTTGAAAAATCTGAAAGGATAAAAGCGGAAAAAGAAGCAGGTTTTTGCAAAAGAGAGGCTGACCTTCTAACCGAAGAAAAAGCAGAACTTGCTAAGGAAAAGACTCGCATCAGCACTCTTAAGAAATCAGAGGAAGATAAACTTCTGGAACTAAACAAACGAACAACTAAGGACTTAGAAAAGAAAAATAAGGCCTTAAAAGAATCTGAGGCAGAGAAACTAAACTCAGTTGTTCTTAA